GTTCCAGCAGGGATAACTGCAGACACCAGGTCTTTCTTCAACCAACAGGCTCTCTCCCAACACCAAGGCCGGTCCAGCAAGTCTTAACCTCCCCCATCTCAAAACGTTAGACTATTCTTGGATCATTAAAAAATTAATAAAAATTGTTATCACATCTCCACTGTCCAGTGATGAAAGAGTGAGCCTTGTAGAAAGCCTGTAACAAGGGGCTGGCCAAGCTGTGGATAAAAGAGCATAAAGCTTCCCCTTGCATTTCAGGGAGCTCTGGGGAGAGGAGCAGACCCACAAGACGCCAAATGCACTCAGCAGCTTCGCTGAGCTCTGCAACGTGCTTTGTTTGCAGAGACCATGCTCCTAGATCAGTGGTAGATGCTTCATGATGCTCTGTTTGTGTGTGAAGAGAAGAAAACTCCATCCGTCCTTCACGTGTGTCGTTTGGGGCCTAATGGAGGTCAAGGTTGCTCATGTGGGTCAGAGCGCAAGGGCCTAGCCAGAGACCATCCCTGCCTCAGAGAGCTGGCAACCTTGCAGATAAAGGAGGGCTATTATATCCCTGTTTGACCTGGGTGCAGAGAGAGTAAGTGGCTTGACCAAGGTCATGCAGGGGATCCCTGGCAGAGGTAGGACTTGAATGCCCTCATTCATTTTAACCATCAATTAACCACAGTGTCTTTCATATGGGTCCACCAACGCCAGGCTCACTGCTACAGGGGATTCATCCTATTCAGCGGCTGGCCCACGCTCCAGCACCAAGGCATGACTGCCTAACCCCTGCACACAACCACACCGCTTGCTTCCCTCGGCCGTTAGTGCTCCTGTTTCTCTGGAAATCTGAGCTCTGTCATGATCCTGCCTGCTTGTCCCGCCCCCACAGATACCTGTGCCTTGTCCGTACCTCTGCTGCAGGAGCTGTCTGGCGGGACTTGCAGCTGGGTGGGACAGGGTGGCTGTTTTATCAGTCGCAGCGAGAGCCAAGTCCAGCAAGACAGCACGGGGGATGGATCATAGAAATCACAGACAATGAGGGTTGAAGGGACCTCAGGAGGTCACATCCAGTCCAACCCCCTGCTCAAAGCAGGACCAGCCCCAACTCCATCATCCCAGCCAGGGCTTTGTTGAGCCATGTCTTAAAAACATGGATTTAAATGCCACCACCTCTTTGGGAAACCCATTCCAGTGTTTTATTACCCTCTTAGTGAGGCAGTTTTTCCCAATATCCAACCTCAACCTCCCTTGCTGCAGCTTAAGCCCATTGTTCCTGTCATCTTCCCCCACTGAGACCACTCCAGCTCCGTCCTAGAACAGCTTGAGGAACAACCTAGCGCCCTTTCAGGGATACCCTTCCTGACGTAACTCAGGTTAGGAAAAAAGATGGCAAATGGAAGGACCAGTCTTCAATTTGGCTGGTTATTTCCTCTGAATTGGTTTGACTCCCTTCACCCTCAGCCCCATGAATCCAGCACAAAGTATATGAATGCACAAGAGAGATTCAGATTGTTGAAAACCAGCCTGACAGCAGGAAAAACTCAAAATCTATCCACACCTATTAACAAACCCAGAGACCCAAAAGGTCAAATATCCGCATACTTGTGTATCTTGGATGGCAATTCATTAACTTTAATGACTGCAGAGCACAGCAGGAGAGTCCCGGCTGGGAAGAACTCTAAATTAATGACTCGTTATATTAACCCTTCCAACCCAGCAGGCAGGTACCCCAGTGAGCTAATAGGTCTGTGAGCACCCCACATTAAGTCTCCAGGGACAAGGGTGCACCTCACCTTTTCTAGTTTGGAAAGGGCCAAGGAGTAGCTGTCCTTCGCTCGGAACTGCATGAATCTCATATTGGATGGGTGGGTCAGCTCTGTGATGATGCTGAGGCTTGGAAACAGCCTGGAAAGAAAGGCAGAGCAGTGAGCGCCTCGCAAGCGAGCATTGGGATGGGTGTGGAAATGGCAGAACATGTCAGATTCACCTGGGAGGAATGGTCAAACTCTTCCAAGACCAGCAACAGGATGGGGGAATGGGTGGGGGGTTAGCACCATGACATTGTGCAAGCAATTCTCATGTTGCCAAGCCAGGTTTTAATTCACTGAATGAGCCATGGTGATTGTACACATGCGTGGAGAGGCTTGTGGCTGCTGATGCACAAGGTGTGGGGAAGGGAAAGGACCTTTCCACATCGCCCTGTGCCTCTGTGTACAAAGCTGCAGTCCGAGTTAAACACAGCAGCCTGTGGCATGAGTCCAGAGCAGGATTCCCACTCACACCTTTGCAGCAGTGGCAAGATCTCCTAACTGCTCTGCTATCACACCCCTCCCCAGCACCCACTGGTCCCACCAGCCCCTTTGTGCCCTGGCCTCCCACTCACACTGGTGCTGGCTCAGCTTCTAGCACTGGGCTCCAAATGCAGAATGGGAACCGACTCCTGCCTACGAGACCTGGGACCTCTACGTGATCCCAACTAGCTCAGCGTTTCTTAGTCCTAGGCACATGCAAATGACAGAGAAGGACCTGTGGCTGCTTCTCACCTGAACATGGTTTGGACGTTGACAATGGTTTTGGCATCTGCCATGTAATCTTCCTCGGCGCTCATGGTACTCTCTTTATCCACCACCACCAAGTTGTCAGCATAAATGATGCCACACTGCAGCAGACTGTCTAGGCTGGGATCATTCCCAAAGACAAAGGAGGAGATTAATGCACGGAGGGATGAAACAATGAATGCTATTTTGCAAATGTGCATGCATTCAGCCTGCGTGAATGGCAATGACAAGCTCATGCCAAATCCTTCTGATATCATAATGACCATTTTATGATGCCTAAGAAGGGGGGAAAACTTGAGGTGAATCCTACAGCTTTTGCTAAGCTGCAAGGAGGAGACTCAGACAAAGTTGTGGGATCTTAAAAGATGACCCTCTCCAACCTTTAGCACTGGCAGTTAGACAACCCAAAGAAGCAACAGTGTGGGAAGTCCTGGTGGATAACAGAGTTTAACTTAATTCTGCATGGCAGCGGTCAGATGTGACCCCGATGGGCATCTGGGTAGACAGACTGACAGAATAACACCTGTGAACAAAGGACACCTACTTATCAATCGTGCCTTCCATGTAGTAAACCATGGGGAAACAACAGATGGCTTCCAAAAAGTGATGATCTGGCCTGAAGGAAGAGAGACAAATGGAAAAAACGTTCATAGGACATTTCTTTAAGAAGTACTGGAGCTCAGTCAAATATTGCATATAGTGCATTCAAACATTAACTAGAACCACTCAACACAATCCCTCGTGGTACGAAATGCCCATTTGAATGGAGGGAAAGGTCTGATGCAATGGAAAATGACTTTCGAAAAGTACTTGCTTGTTATCCAGCAGTAGCACAATTGGGTTTAACTCCTTCCGGGACCGGTAGTAGGCGCGGAGGGGGACGATGAAATTATACAGCCCATTCCCAGCAGTCTCTGCTGAGACTATAATCAACTTGTTCTTAAACCCATAGGCCTTGGCATCTTCAAAACTGTTGTGCTTGCAACCCTGGGCAGAGGCAGAAAAGCATCATGACTTGGTGATCCGTTCCGAGCTGCCCATGTGCCCTGACACCAGGCTTTGGGGACCAGAGGATGAACGGCCACGTTTCCCTTGGGGAGAGGGAATTCTCCAAAATTCAGACATGGCAAAACCACTAGGCAGGCTCAGCCCTATGCTGTGAGGTCTGCAGCAACCAGCGGGCAGGATGAGCAGGAGAAGAACCCTGCCAAGTCTGATCAGGAGAGGACTGGGACTATGCTGTTATTTCAGCCATGGGGGGCTGGGGCCCACAGCTTGGATGGCCCCATTCTCTGGCAGGCAATGTCTCACTTTGCTCATCTTTTTTGAGCATCTAGAGTGACTTTTGCACAGCTAGAAGGAGTTAGACCAAGTGGCCATGGAGAGGACAGCTGTCCAGGTGGCTGGTACAGCACAGTGCATGCCCTCTGCCCCTGTGAATAAGGTCATCCTCCCTACAGCGAGCTCTCTGCCCAGGTCTATTCAATCCTCAGTCTCCCAGATGAGTCTCCAAAACAGGAGGACAGTAACCAGGGTGGGTCTAGGGCTTCTGTCCATTGGCTGTCATAGAAATCACAGAAAATGAGGGTTGAAGGGACCTCAGGAGGTCACATCTAATCCAACCCCCTGCTTCAAGCAGGACCAGCCCCAAGTACATCATCCCAGCCAAGGCTTTGTCGAGCCAGGTCTTAAACACCTCCAAGGATGGAGCGTCCACCACTTCTGTGGGTGACCTGTCCCAGTGCTTCACCACCCTCCCAGTGAGAAAGTTATGTCCTTGACATGTTTTATTGTTCGCCCTGAAGTCAGCCTCTTACCTTGTCCAGCCTGAGGCAGCAGAATGGGGCCTTTTCAGGTAAGAGATGACACAAAGTGGGAGAGCTCCCAATGTAGGGGGAGTTGGGTGGGTAGCCTTTCACGTACCTAGAGCAGAAATAACAGCCATCAGTATCAGGGCACGCCTGTATTTTGCCACACACACACAAAGCAAACGCTATTAAGTGACGCTGGAACGGCAAGAATAGAAATAAAGCACGGAAACACATTTTAAAAAAGCCTTCAGCCAGCAAAGGGTCACAGAATGGGATGAAGGCAACATAGACACACAGACACATATCCCCTTTATTCTCATGAACCCCCAGACAATTAAACAGATCCTGGAAGACAAAAACATCTGGAAGCATTTAGCAGAGATGGGTCTCAACATCTAAGACTGGCCAGCAGACTCAGAAAAAAAAAAGTCAGAAAAAAAAAAGACAAAACTCCCATCACCTATTTTTGGTTTTGCCTTCATTTAATATACTGTATGTGCTGTACTTTGCACTGCTGCTATAAAGGAAGAAAAAAAACAAGCTTTCAGACTACGGTGTAATTGAAATCCATTTAAAACCATAGTCAGAATTGCCAGCTTTTGTGCTGTTGCTTTACTAACCACTTTAATAACGGTATGGTATCCCTTACAAATGAACCCATTTGTGCCTGTGCATGTGTGGGCTCACACAAATATATTATTTGGCTCATCAGTAGCCATTAATCGCCGCTTTGAAAATGCAGAACTGACCACACGGTGCTGCTCTTGCACCATTTGCTAACTCGTGAACTGGCAGTGTAATTTAAATAAGCACATCGCTGCAGCTAAAACTCAGGGAGAGCTTCCCCAGCGACAGAGCAGAAGCAGAGGCAAATCTATTAACAAGAGGTTAATTTATGCAAACTGGATTTTGGGAAAGGGAACAATAATTGCATGTATTAGCTGTTTCAATCCAGTCGAGATACAAAATATCAGGGTGAGCCCTGCTGGCACTTTAATAGCACAGAGTGGATGGCTTGCTTAATCTCCCATTGGCAAGGCTCGAATGTCAGCTGAGGCCTGATCCTGTTCTCTCTCTTTAGACTGAGAGGGTTGCAGGCTTGCCCAGTGCTTCAAAGAGGGGTGTAGGACTTGCTGGAGCATTCATCAATATATGCTGCTCACACAAAGGCTTTGCTAAAGCACTGACAGGAGCAAGCTTCACCAGCAAATCTGACCAATGAATAAATGAAACTTCGGAGATGGGAGGATAGTCCAGCAGCAGGATGATAAGGTTAGGATGGGGACGTCAGGTCAGAACGTGAAACAAGCCCACAGCACAAGACAGCTTGAGACGTTCAAGATACAGATGGAAAGCAATAGGACGTTTGTTTTGATCCTTGTATAAAGAGAACTGGAAAGCAGGGAAACTCCTGGGGGAGTCTGCCTGCCGTTGTGCCGACTGCCCTGTCACAGGTACAAATGTCTTAGCTCCTGGTCTGATGTACTGGTTAGGTCAAAACGTGTTATGGCTGTGCTTGTAGACAATAAACCTGGCTGAATCTTTGCCACCGAACCGAGGCTGCGGTCATTCTTTAAGACAAGATTAGTATTGGGATCGACTTTGCCAGCACTGCAGTTCCAGAGATTTCAACACTGACAACCCATCAATAACACCCAACAAGGACAACAGCAAGGACGACACCGATAATCCCAGACAACAAGGGGAAGAGACGATATAAATGAAAAGGGGTTTTAGATCTAAGGATGAGTTTACGTTAAACATGGATCTTTTACACCCGTCTATTGATGATTAACACAGCCTGAAGGAACGTGCATTTATGGCAAACAGTTGGAAGGCAATCCTGAGTGTAAACGCATAACGCTGCTCAGTAGGGAGCTGACTTTGACTGCAAGTTCATGGTGGTGGACCATCTCTTGGCCTGTTTTTGCGCAAGTCACATGGAATCATGCCCTGCCCTGCCTATGCCCCACTTTCCCCCTGGAACCACTCTGAGACAAAAAATAGACTCATTGAAATCACAGAAAACGAGGGTTGGAAGGGATCTCAGGAGGTCACATATAGTCCAACCCCCGGCTCAAAGCAGGACCATCCCCAACTACATCATCCCAGCCAGGGTTTGTCAAGTCAGGCTTTAAAAATCTCCAAGGATGGAGACTGCACCACCTCTCTAGGTAACTTGTTACTGTTCCCTCCTAGTGAGTTTTTCCTAATATCCAACCTCAACTTCCCTTGCTGCAACTTGAGCCCACTGCTCCTTGTCCTGTCATTTGTCACCACTGAAAACAGTCCAGCTCCATCCTCTTTGCAACCCCCCTGCAGGGAGTTAAAAGCTGCTATCAAATCCCCCCTCAGTCTTCTCTTCTGCAGACTCACAAGAAAAGCCACCTCATTGATTTAACACTATAGCTGCAATGATCCAAAGAGTAGAAGGTACAATCCAAAGAGTAGATTGCAAGCCATCCGGCACAGGAACCACCTGTTAGGCATTTGTGGAATTAAGTGGAAGACAGCAGAAAAGTAGGCATGCATATCTCTTAAAACTTGTTTGAAAATCCCAACCTACACAAAGCTGATCACTTAAGATGATGCAGTACGAATTTGTACATGCCACGTTTTTTGCCCTTTCTTGCACTGCAACTGCATGACTGTTTGCACAAGCGGGATTTCCAGACACTTTAAAAGTCTTTCTGACACTAAAGCAGAGCGATGCTGCTGTCAAATGGCAACTTACTCAACAACCATAGGCCCTTCTTCATCCGACTGAGTCATCTCATCTTCCGACTGGTCACTAAGCAGGTCACAGGGCAGGAGGGAAGAGCTGTCAGCTAACTCGAGCACTGGGGCAATGCTAGGTCGCCTGGTGCCTGACCCATTTTCAGCCGGGAGGGTCAGCTTGCTGCTGTTAACAGGCCGGCACTCTGTATTTTGCAGATCCATGGCTACTGTTCCTGGAAATGAAGAGTAAGGAAGAGCCAAACAAATATGCCGATAAACAAATGAAAGCAAAGTATTTCAGGCTGGTGTGCTATGGACTGCACAAGGGCATTAAGGTACTGCAGGGAAGCAAGTGTATGAGGACCTCTCTGTTGGACTATACATTAAATTTGCATTTATATGTAGTCATAGAAGGGTTAAGAAACAATTAATACATAGTAAAAACATGTTGCAGACCTGAGTAAGGACTTCAAGGATAATGTATCATAGAGAGATACAAGCCAGGATCATAAGCAATCTATGGACTCCAGATCAATCTAAAACAATCAATTATCTGTGGTCTTTTATTAATTATTTCCAAACTGAATTTTGATACTCAGTTTTCCAAGACACACATAAAACTATCCAGGAAATAAGAAGGGAAGCTTTCACTAGCTCTGCCATATCAGGGGGATTGTTCACATGCTTAAATTTAATCAGGCAAGGTTCTTTGGGTAGATGTGATATCATGTATTAGACCAACTGAGCAAATTTAAGAGAGTGCTTAAGTGTTGTGAATAGGTGCCTGATTGCTCAGCACCTGGCAAGACCAAGCCCCTAGAACAAGAGTTTATACCTGCTGTAGGAGCCAACTGAATTCATAGGAACTGGGAAATGATCAGTTTAAAAGATGCCCTTTTCCCTGCAAGTATTTTCACCTGGAGCTGATGCATTCACAAGCCTTCAACATGCAAGATTTCCATCCTTTATTGGGAACTTCCCATTTATGGATGTTAAGGAGGGGGAAAGCCCCCTTAACTACTCCTAAACTCTAACAAACATGCACTCACGAGCCCACACTGTTCACGCTGCCCTCATTCTCTCTGAAGCCAAAGAGATAATTTAATTATCAGTACAAGCAATTTGCCTGCTGGTCAAAGCTCACAGCCAGATGGGAGCTGATCGCATGCTGAAGTCCTATGGAGATGGGAATCTCGGTGGCAAAACTCAGCTTGTGGGAAAGGCCCCGGGGTTTGTGACCTTCTTATCTGCAACTTCCAACACATTTTTTCCAACTCAAAGAGTCTTCTGGCATTCTCAGTTCACAATAACCCCTATATCTGCTTGGAACATCTGAGGGCGCCCGCTGTCAATCCGAACTTGGAGATCAGGATCATTCTGCGCCATTTGGATGGGTCGTTCCAGGAAATGGCTTTGCAGCTTGCAGATATTCTGGGCTCCCAACAGCTCAGTTCCCGGGAGCCTCCTGAGAATGCACTGTGCACGCAGCGTGACCGCATCGCTCTTGCTCGCTTGGCCCCATTTCCAAGCAGCTCTTCAACAGATTTAGCACAGTCCTCTTTTGGCTGCCGAAGCAGTGGTCTCAGGTACAGCCTGCTGCCGCCAGTGCTAATGAATCCCCTGTGCTATTCTTTGTCTGCAAAGTCTCTTAGCCATCAGACTACATTTTCAAAAGCACCCAGAAATGTTGCTGTGCAAATCGCACTGAACTTCAAGCCTCTTCCATTTCTTCAGCATTTCTGTGGCACCCACCTCAACTCTAGCACAAAACGTCCTCAAATGTTTGAAATCTCTTTCTTTCTTGCCTTCATAAATGAGTTTGCAGTCAAACCTCCCTGAACTGCATCTGAGTTCTTATTAAACTGTGGATACAGCTTGGTCCACAACAGAGACCAGGAGCTGTAGAGCGCCAAGATTACTATAAAAATGACAAAGTGGGATTTTTGTTTGAAATCCTGGATTAGGCACAGCTGAATGAACATGGCAAACACCTTGGTGCTGAAGGAACACACTGAGAAATCACAGGAATCTTTTCTGAGAAGCAAAACCCCCAACTCTATTATCTCTCTGTGTTTCAGAGGAACATCTTGTTCCTTTCCAGCGGGCCGGTGACAGCTCGGTTTTGTGCCTGTGCCTGCACATGTGCTTAGCTGCGTTGGATACAGTCAGTAGTCGAAAAGGAGATTTAGGCTAAGTCTGTACCAGAGAAGATTTGCTAGTAAAACTATCCCAGTATAAATAGACTACAGACCCTTCTAGAGCGAATGCAGCTTCTAATGTGAAAAAAAATGCATTGATGAACAGTTTGCCAAATGCAACAAGCTACACTAGCGAAAATGCCATCTTGCCAGCATAAATGCATCTTCACTGGTGCTTTTGCTGGTAGATAAATGTTCAGATAAAAAAAACCCCAATAACAACAGGCTCAAACCCACAACACTATGCCAGCAAAAATATCTTGTGCAGACCCGGCCTTGGAAAGCAAACCAGGGTATTCCAGGAGCAATGAGATCTTGCCATGGTTTGCCTCTCTCAGGGCTGAAAATATATGCACCTAATTGCTAGCCTAAGTTTGCACTGCTTCAACTTCCAACCTTGTTATACCTTTGCCAGTGAGACTGAAGGGCCCTGTAGTACCAAGGCCTTTCTATTATCACATTTCTGTTCCCCAGAAAGGCTATGAATAGATCAAGTAAGTTTTTAAATAGACTGACATCCTATTAGGCATCTTTTCCCAAACCTTTAACCATTCTGGTGGGTCTCTTACAACTCCCCTCCTGTTATCAACATCCTGCTGAAGTTATGAACACCGGAGCTGGATGCAGTATCCCTTTAGTGGCAGCACCAGTAGCAAATACAGAGGGAATGTAAGAAAACCCCATGACTGCCATGCGATATCCCCTTGCTTGTACATCCAAAAACCACGTGAAAACCACATGAGCCCTTTTGGCCTCACACTGGGCACTCCAGTTCAGCTCCTTATCCACTGTGAACCCGAGACCTTTTCATGGTCACTGCTTCTTAGGAGACAGCCCCCTTCCAGGACCTAAATTCTCTGTTCCCATATCCGTAACTTCACCGTTGGCGATATTAAAAGACATTTGCTTGCTTGTGCCCAGGTTACCAGGGACCTGTTTCAGTGACCTGCTCTCTGCAGGATGCATGACTCCTCTGACCTCTGTGTCATCAGTGGACTTTATCAGTAATGAGTTTATCTTTAATTGCAGGTCATTGGTAACAGCACAGGGTCAAGATCCAATCCCTGCAGGACCCCACAAAGAAAACACCTGCTTCATGATTGTGTCCCACCTACAACGGCACTTTTAAGACCCCCCGTTAGGCAATCATTGGTTGATGTTTGTAAAGCATAGTGAAATCTGGCAATGAAAGGCCACAAAGATGTCCGGAGTGGTATTACTAATGCTCTCACTGACTCATCCAATGCTCCCGGATAGCGCTACCTTCCCACGCAGCTGCTAAAGCACGGCTGCAGGCTCTTAAAAGCAATTTCTTCTTTTTTTCCACCCCCCAAAGAACTCAGGGTTTATTCTTAATGTTTCCATGTTGTCTTTCCAAGCGTCACCCATCCTGCTTCTCCTAGCAGGCCAAAGCTTTTAACCTGTGCGATTCAGATGAATGGGTCAAACAGATCATCGTGCCCAAGTCAAAGAACCACCTGATGAAGGATGTTCCAACCCTGCTGTCAGACCATTTGAATACCCAGCATCGACATGTCTTTTGTCAGATAGCCGCGGTTCAGCATTCAATGCCATCAAATGCAGAAGACTCAAATGTTGCCCCTGGACTCTGCCTTTCTGTTCCCATCGTCAAAACGGAGAGGAGAAGTGCAATTTTCCAAAGCACTTGAGAGAGGCAGGCACCCAACAACCAGTGGCTTTCAATGGGAAAAGGACACTTCACTTTCTTAGCTGCTTCGAAAAAATCCCACCCTTCTCCCACAGTCTTGGACCAAAACATGCACATGTGACTAGTGCTTTGGATGACTCAACTTTTGGCTGCTCACCTTGAGACCCTTTAAAGCAGCTTGATTTTCTGTGGGTTGCTGCTCAGCCCTTTCTGGTAATCAAGAGCTTTTCAGGCGTACAGGGCTGGGCAATCAAAATCAGTCATTGCTCTTGGAAATCAAAGCCATCAGCTTTTATTTTAGCCTTTGTCACACAGTTATTTTTAAGTGGGTAGGAAAGCGATGCATGGCACAGCAAGCACGACTCAGGAGCTCAGCTCTCTCCCCCTTATTACCAGTCAAGTAGCTGAATACAACTGACCTACATGTAGGATACAATTCCTATCTCTCCTTTTACTTCTGAACATGTTCACACTGAGAAAAAGCCACATAACAAGAGCATCGGAAAAATGCTGCCCAACAAGGAGCTTTGTGTTTCGCTGTTGGGATAATCTGTGCAACTTAATGCCCTTGAATGCAAATGGATACACGATTTGCCTGGAATATAATCTCCTATTGTGTCTTGGCTTCTCCAGATAAACCCCAAAATTTGCGCTTCCCAGATACAAGCTGGAAATAATGAGTCATGGTCGTTTTGATTTGAGAAAATGCACCACTGACTGAAGAGCAAACTGTGCCATTCATCAAGTTATGAATCATAAACATGATTTCAAATGCAGACAGCAGAGTCTATTCTTCTAACCAAGGTATGGGGGATTTATATGAGCAAATGCCCTTCACGTTAATGGATGTGATGGGCCTTAATAACAACATTTAGCATTTGCAGGGAGTGCTTTCCATCTAAGATGCTAAAGGTGGGGAAGTGACATTTTATTTCCTTTATAGATGATAAAACCCAGGCAGAAAACGGAAGCAACTTTTCCACAGTCACAGCTGCATAGCGACTGAGTTTGGAAGGGGGCTTTGGAGATTCCCTGTAGCTTTCTACAATGAAGTCACAAAGCATCTCTTTTATTTCCCCATTGGGCTCCGAGTATACCCCCCCCACCCCGTTATCCCAGATCTTGTCAAAGGGATCATTTGGTCAGCAACATGCAGAGCTACATGGTAGAGTCATGTACAACCCAGTGTGACTTTATTACTTCTAGGAGAGTGTGAAGCAGTCAAACAATCACCTTCAGGACTTAGCAATGACTTCTACTGGAAACATTATAGTGCATCAAGGCAGGAGAAAGGATACGTCATTGTAAATATGTGCAGGGGGGGGTATAAAAGCAGAGGGCCCTGGGGCTAAAGTGAAGTGCCGACAAGCTGCCGTCTGTCACCCAACCCTATAATAGCAGCGCTAGTGCATGCACCTGCAGGACAAGAGCAGGGGCTGGCCAAAAACTTTCCCTCCCAAGCCGCCAGCTGACAGCTGCCAAGCAGAGCAGGTGCACACATCTGCAACACCTTACTGCTTGGCTTGATGGGGTTGATTTCCAAGGCATCGCAGTGCAACCCTCTAGCAAAGCTTTAACTTGCATCTACTGTTTATGCCCGAGAGCAGCAACTTCATCCAGGTAGAAACGCATCTGCTGTAACCTGCTTGCAAACAGAAACAAAGCTTCCCCAGCTCTTTCTGGGATTGAGGCGGCGCTATCTCCATGGCAGAGATGGTGCAAATGAGCAAACTTCCCAGCCGTAGTTCTGCAAACAGCACCGCTCCCCCTGGCTGGGCTAGAGCAGGGGACAGGCTGGATCTGACCCACTAAGCCATTTGATCCAACCCATGGGCATGGGGCTTTGGCGGTGATCAGTGGCAGGGAGAAGTGGTGGCGGAGGGCACTTTCTCTATGCTGCCATGGGAAGAAGTAGCCGTAGTTTAAAATGCTGACGACAGCTGAGCTATGGAGTTAGAGCCAGCAAGGTTACACGAGGGAGAGACACCAACAGAGCCTGCCTGCGAGACAGCTTCCTCAGCTGCTACTTGTGGAGGGGCAGCATAGAGGGGAACGACAGCTCCAGCTTTTGGCAGCACAACGTCCCAAGGGTTAAGTTACTCACCTTAGGTCACCCAGCAGATCAGTCGCAGAGCCAACAACCGAACCCAGGAGACCTGCCTTCTCTTTCTGTGCTCTAGCCATTTGGGAGGATCTCCCCGGGTCTACTAAAAGTACCCTGAATACCTGCCAACTTCCAAAAGGGATTGGGTTATGGTTGGGACATGGAGGTGAAGGCTCCATCCAGAACAAAGTTTTAGATAAGAGGCATCCATTTGTTTTCAGCAGAAAAGGATGCCCCACTAGTCGCACAGAGGCACTTCCAATCCCAGAAACACATGCACCACGCATGACACCCAAGCGCATGGACATCATTGCCATGCTCTTTCAAACAGGCCACACTGCTCCCCCCTGCTCCCTTGGGCATGCTGGAGGAACTCACCCATGCTTGCGATGATGCTGTGAACAGGCAGCCGGGAGGTACCGTCGTAGGCCCCTCGCCCCGCAAACCCCTTCTTCTTTTGCTTCTCCTCCTGCTTGAATATGAAGGCGGAGTTCTCCTCCTTGGTGATGTTGATGTAGAAGCAGGTGTCCGATGCTGCCATGATGTGCCGTGGCCCGGGGTTCAGCAGGATGCTCTTGTTGTCTTCCCTCCTGATGCCTATCAAGCAGACGCCGTACCTAGGGCAGAAGCACAGGGCAGGCATTCAAGGCTGGTCGCTAGAGAAAAGACTCTCCATGTGCTTTTGCAAACGTGCCTTTGGCCCGTGCTTCTTGCCATCTGCCCTGACCTCGGGCACTGAAAGCAGAAGCTAATGCACGCTCCTCCTGGCTCCTGCTATCCTGCTTTCCAAGCCGATATAAATAAATCCACACCTCACCCTGCTTTTTACCTGGAGCACCACTTCCCCCCACATGCAAGACTTTTTCCAAAGTCCCCCCCAGGCCACCCTGTGACCTCCCCACCAATGCATTACATGTACCAAAACATGCATGGCCTTTCTCAAAGCCTCAGGGATCCCCCCGCTATGGCACAACATGCCCCCCCCCGGGACAAGACCTTTCCTCCTGCACATGCCAGCACTCAGAGGCCCCAGCCCAGACTTGCTCTCACTTCTTGTGTGCATGGAAGGCAGCGTACGTGAAGCTTTTCCCTTCATACTCCATGAAGAACTTGCTGTCCCCCATCCGGATGTGATAAACTTCATTGCCTGAGCAGCGCCCGTACATCCGTTGCCATTGCTCAGGGGACTCCTGGCCTTCCCTGTAGCCGAGGGAACAAAAGCCTGCTTGTTAAAGCCTTGTCGTGCCCAGTGCTACCACCCCATGCTCTCCAGCTGGGTTTGCACCCAACACCGGGCTATGCAAAAGCCTGCTGAAAGACCAGTTTGCATTTCAGACTATAGCGAGCGAAGGGTGGGATTAACAGCTATTCCTCTGGCCAAATCCAGACGTTCCCTTGCACACCTGTATCAGTGGAAATCCAGCAGCCAAGAGAGGAACTTCAGGTTGCAAGTGTCGAGTCCTGCCCTTCCAAAACCCATGCCCCAAGGTCTTACGCTCAGCAGAGAGAAAAGGGTGTCTTTCACACTGGGACTAAAATAAGGGGCTTTCTAAGCAGCTGTGTTCCCTGACCCAGACACTTCACAGGCACGTAGACCTGTGCAGCAAGTCTCCTGGGGGATGCAGGTGCACAGTAATACTGGTTTTGGGGCCCTGATCATTTGCCCCCTAGTGCGGGCTGAGGCTAGCGTGGGCACAGGAAATGTAGCTCAATGCAACCGAGCAGAAATGCCCTGGATTCAGACAGAAAGGAGAGTCACAGCATCCAGTCTTTGGAGGAAAAGGAGGTGGTAAAAGGAACAATGCCCCACACCCAGGGTTACAATGAACTCAGCAATGGAGGTGATGTGCTCACCCCTCTGCCCTGGCAGCACTAGGGCCTCACTGCTGCGCACGCAGGGCCAGCAAAGGAACGCATGCCATTTACACCACCTGGGGACAGTGTGATTACCAGGGATCCTGGTTTTATCTGATTTTAAAAAATCCCCAACTTTTGGTTAAAAAAATGCAGCCCCAGAATCCACATTTTCCCATGATTTAAATGAAACGCCACTCGTATATAGATCTACATATAGTGGTGTTTCATTTTAATCATGGAAAAATGTGGATTTGGAGGTTTGTTTTTTAACAGAAAGTTGGGGATTTTTTTCAAGCAGAGAAAACCAGGATCCCTGGTGATTACTGAGAGGGACAACAAAGGACATGAGCTCTGGCTGCATTTTAGGCCCGCACCAGTAAGATGGTGGCAGTGCCTTTTCATGAGCTGCCAGCACATCCAAGCGAGAAATGATCTCATTTTAATTCCAGATTGTACACGCCTTTGTATTTAACGAGCGCTCCTAAGGGGAGCCGCAAAGGGCAAATATTAGCAAACAATCCTGAGCAGGGGATGGGAGTTGGAGACACGCTGGAGGCTTTATAACCCTTTGACTTCACATAGCTTTGAATTCAGTACGTTATAACTTGGCCGTGGAAAAACAACCCGCTCCATCAAAGCATGTACTTAGGCAACCTGATTTATTTCTGGTTGTATTTTATACAAACTTGAAAAACACAATCTGAAGGGCCTATTTGCGTTTGAATTCAGCTTCCTGTCACCATGCCGATGTCAGTATCAACAGTGTTTTGTTCCCAGGCCCTGCAAAGGCACGTTCTCCAAAAGCACATGCAGTGCTCATCTCAACTGCTGCCCAGAGAAATGCACCATTAATCATATTTCCCGGCACCCTTCACTCTGTAATTTATTAATAATTGGGTATGCTTGAAAGGGACAAATGAGCAGATACTATTTAGGGTGATGCTTTCCCAAAGAAAGGCAGGGGGACTGTGAGCACAATCCCATTCACAAACCCACTGCACCTGTATAAGTCCAAAAACTCCCAAGGGGCTCAACAAACTTTGCTATAACGGTCATAGGGACATTTGTGTTTTATTTGCACTTGTGCATGAGACAGGATCGTTCAGGTCTGTTTGCAGCTGCTTGAACTCATGGCTCAAAGAGGTTAAGTGACTTGCCCATGAACAAAGAGCAAGTCAGTGACACAGAGACTCCAGCATCACATGCTATAACCAGTTTTGCTATGCTTGCCTGGCTTCCTGAAGCATCACCGTGATATCCTAACAGTGTATCTGGGTGTCTTTGAGATCGGTACAATCATTAGCCTGCAGCCTCAGACTTTACCACAGCTATCTTTTATATAATGCTCTCAGCGAGAGGATGTCTAGCAGAGTTTGGCTGTGACAAATCCATTGTCCCACATGCCAAAGCATGCAATGAAATGTAAAGGGCAAGAAGACAGCTAGGTCCGGCTTTTGCATTGTACCTCTTAACGCTGTATGTAGCATCCTGCTGCACAGTGCAGAAGTGATTTCCTTTCTTTTCCTGTCTGGAGCCCTGCATGTGGCTGTCACCAACTTGTCACCTCTGTCCCTGAGAGGCAGAAGGCCCATGTGCGAGGTACAACCGCAAAGACTTATTTCTGGCTGTGCTGGCAAACTCTAATTACAGGAGCCTGCTCAACTCAGCCAGGACTCGCACCCTGGGAGGACAGGTCCGCACAGGACAGACCATGAAGGCATCATCCCCGAGTACGCATGCACAAAGACTGGATCATGAGGCTGCCCCATCACTGGTTTGACCGGCACTTAGCTTTGATGTCTGGTTCAAACAGGACGGCTGAGTGGGAAGGGCCCGCAGCACCTTCACTTGTGAGACCTGGGCAATTGTGGGGATTTTGGCATGGGTATTTGTTCTTAACCAGATGTTTCCAGCTGCTTTTGCCTACAGAAGCAGCAGCTGTGGCAAGGGGCAAACACCTGCTCCTAACTCAACGATACACTCCAGGGAGCCAACGTCATCTGTCATGCCCCTGGTTTGGCCAATGCTTCTCACTCTTGACACGCAATACCCCAGGGGTCCCAAATCCTGGCCCCTACTGGGTCTACCATACAGGTTGTTCCTGCCCTGCAGTTTCACCTCCTGCCCCAGGCCTGGGCACCCCACACAACCCTGCTGATGTGCCTCAATCCTGGATAGCTATGGTCCTTAATACTCGTGCCCTTGGCCTCTCTGTGAGGCAGAGATAAAGAGCCATGGAGATGCTGCCATGCTCCCCACCCCAGCAACAAACACGGGAGCCCAACCCAGAAGGCTCCTAACTCCATGAGCTCCGCATCCAAGCAGAGGACAACCCATTCCACTTGCACAGAGCCTGGAGACACAACGGCTGCTCCCTGACTTGCTCCTGGATGCCCGTGTCCTTCTATTCCTGTGGCCATATGGGGAACATATCTATAAGCAGTAAATATACAGGCTGAATGCCCCAGCTAGGTGGGTCCCCATGCTCATGCCACTGGTTTGGTGTGCACCCCTTTTTGGTGCAGACACAGCCCCAGCTCAATGGGTGGTGGTAGACATAGAAAAACAAGTATTTGTTCTGGGGAGATCAGTGCTCTTAACTAGAGATGGGACTGAGCCAGTGGGTCGGTGATGCAGATCCCAAGGGTGATGCTACAATTATTGATCATTACTGGTCTAAGAGGTCCCCAGTGCAAATCAGGTCCCTATTGCAGTTGCTGTCAAACACATAGAGGACAGGCCTTACAACTGACCCAGGAAAGGCTGGGAGGCAGGAAGGAGGGAGATCCAATGGGGGATGGGAGATCGAGGTGTGCAGAGGTTAAGTAGGTCTCCTGAGACTTTGTCCTGTGTGACAGCACCCCAAGACCACCCTTTCTCCTAAGGCAGGTTGAGCCTAAGAGGCCCACAGCGCAACTTTGTAGCCAAGGCCCAATGTGTATTTTCAGATGGCAAATCAGGGTGAAGAATGGGAACAACCATGGCAAGTACCAAAAGGGAATTAATAAGTCAAACCAGTATACACTCACTGTCCCCGGGACGTGTGAACCAGGAGGGTGATGAGCGTGGATGTTGCCGGACAGACGCAGTTCAAAGCCAGCATGGCGTACTTGCACTCTTCCTCGCAGACCACGTGATCTGAAATGGAAAAGGCAGCACGATTACCCCTCTCCAAGCAGAGCTTTCATTTCCCTGCCTCTGGCAACCAGTAATTTCCTTGGAAGATTTTCAAGTGAGCCAGTTTCCAGTGAGAAGAGGGAAGGCTAGGGGAGGCGGCACAGCATGTGTGACAGCTGGAGCGTTGTTTGTTTTATGTTCCAGCTCCAGCGGAGTCAGCACGGATTGATTAAGCACAGAAAGGGGCCTCAAGGAAAAGCAGCTTGTTTTCACTAGGTACCAGGGATGCTTTCAGCTGCCTTAGGGATCAATGTGAATGGGCATATAATTCCAGGTAGGGAAGAAAAAATAGACACGCAGAATGGCATCCTGCCAAGCAAACCCTGTCCAACCCAGACGGCAGAGGCAGGGTAAAACGAAAGGGAAGAGGTTTTGTCTGGGGTCGCTCTTAAGGGCTGGGTTTCACACTGGAAGCCTAACGAGCTGGATTAAATACTCAATTGTTCTCTTTAAAGGACAACTTAATTAGCTTCCAAAGTGATGGGAGAATGTCCTTAAATTGAGGTACCATCCTGCTGCTTGCTGGTTCATGTGGGAGTTTGACTGTAGAGACCTGGTGGGATTCCTCAGTGGAAGAGCTCAGGGGACAGATTCATACCCAGCATATTTAAAAAAAAAAAGAACCCTTGTTCCCACTTTCCTCAGTCACAGATGCTAAAAATAGTTTGTCAAACTACAAAATCCCCCTTGACAACTCTTGCAGCTCAGTGACCACACTTACTGCCTCTTTTATGCAGAAACTCTTAGCCAGGTTTACAAGTCTGGCTGCATTTGGAGTTGGTAGGTCTGTCCCCGTGACCTACACAGACTCTCCTCCTATTGATCTAGGTAGTGACTCCTATTAACTGGCTGCAGATATTATAGTTTCTAGGGTCGGAAGGGACCTGAGCAGATCATCTAGTCCGACCCCCTGCCATGGCAGGAAGAGCACTGGGGTCAAATGACCCCAATAAGGTGGTCATCCAACCTCCTCTTAAAAACCCCCAGGGTGGGAGCCTGCACCACCTCAC